GAAGAGTAGGATGCCAATGATTGCAGCGCACTGATATTGAGGACAATACAGGAGAAGCTAACTTATGACCACCTTGCCCATGAAATTTCCGAGAACCCTAGATATAGACCAGGATCGTCAAGCGATCCTGTCGTTATCTTTTATACTTAGAGGAGATACCACCCTGATACAGAGGGCATATCATGAAGATAAGCTACTCTGATTCATGACTGATTCATTCAGTTTTTCAAGACACCTCTAGAGCTTGATGATCGAATTTAATGCAGTTCTATGAAAAGCTCGCCTACGAATCTAATTAAAATGAAAAATAACAAATCTCTAAAGCAAGCACTGCAGGTTGATCAACATACTTACCTCTCTGACAGGCTTTTTGTTCACAGAGTACAGAAGCAGAACGGCAGGAACAACCGCATCCTCATCCTTACAGAGCAACTGTGCTTTCAGAAAATCTTCAATGGCTTCCATCAACTATAATTTAAATACTTCTTTCACGGAGTAAAACATATTATAGGAAACTTCTGATTATGATACTGTACCTCAGGCTTGGTCATTGCTTCATCACCACCCAGTAGTTCACAAGTGAAGTACACTCCTTTAATAACATTTGCATGCTCGAACTCTCGAATGTCTGGTCCACTCCTGAAGAAATTGATACATAGGGAAGAATAACTATCTACGTATCTGCAGGTTTTAAACTGTGGAACACCAAAGCGGCACAGCCTCTCCTAATTTCGTTTTATCACTAACAATTAGTCTCTTTTGCATTTACTGTAGCTTCAAAGAGGCCCTTCACGATCACTCCTGTCCTCTTATTCGGGGCTTCTCGTGATCGCTTCCTTAAGCCTCGGACTCCAATGCCTCCCCTATTGGATGATGCCGTGGTCTTTTCGTTGGGTCCTTACCGTCAAAACGTTGTTCTCTTATCTGCAATTGAACAGGGGTTAAACGCATGAACACCTCGACGTCTTCTTTTCTGATATGGTTCAATCGCGTCTCACTACAAACCCATTGGAGCACCCTCAGCGGATTGGATCTCTCTTTTATGACTTTTGCTGTGGGCGAGCACCCGCTGCCGGGGAGCACCGTGAGCCAACCACTGTCCTGGACACACTTCCTTCGAGGTTCTAAAGCTTTGTCAGTGGTGGAGGATACTAGTGGACACTCTCCACTTCATCCATGCCGCGGATTTTTACAACCCGGTCCGCACAACAGCGGCCGAATCACTCCCAAGGTAGCGGCAGCCATTCACCCTCTCGATGGCTTCCCCAAATTGACTCCGCGCACTAATCGCGGCTTTAGAACAAACCTCTTTATATTCAGCAGGAGCCCACTTTTTAGGCAGTACTTTCTATCATTTCAACTTGTTCTGGAACTCTTTACTGCTCTCAGAGCGTTGTTATTGTAGAGGATCGCCTTCAGTGGTCCATTTATAAGTTTTATTTGGTGACATCCACAGTAAACAGAAAGAGCCACGGGCTTAGATCTAAATTATGTTGTAACTCAACAGTGACTTTCCATGCTTTTCTTAAGCCGTTAGGGGACCTATGGCCGTCTTGGACTTATCGTATATTTCATTGATAAGGTAAACCAGATGGTTAGAAGCGCTTCATTCTCGAGAGGCTCTTCAAAAACTTGTCGTGGAATCAGTCGAGATGCTTCTCTGGATCAAAAAGGGCCAAGTAGTAGAGTCTACGCTTTTTTCGATACTTTCCATAGTCCAGCTGTGAAGATAACATCGGTCGTAGACCTGCCTAGCATAAAACCGAAGTGCTCCTGTGTGATAGGAACAAGTTCTCTTAACCTTGAGTCGACTCATTGCTAGACTCATCATGGTAAGAGCAGGCAATCTGATCAGTACTTGGAACACTCCGTCGCGCTTCTCTCTGTTCGAACATGAGGACGGCAGTATTTCCGTGGCGGATGCAAGTCTTTTGCATTTCCTGAATGCAGCTAGTTCTTCTGAAGCTCACATTCTCTGCCGTCCTACCGTCCCTCCCTTGTAGATGCTTCAGCTCCATAACTCGCTGAACTTTAACGTTCTCGAGCCACACTTCCCTCTGTCCTTCGGTTTCTGACGACCAGAATCCAGTGACGAAGCCTTTTTTCCTCTCGCCACCGCATCAACCACCGCATTTCCGCTTTGTTTTCGTCCTTGCCATCTTGGGTAAACTTCTTGCCATGCTTGTTAAATACGGCGTGTGCGTGGAGCAAGATCTTTGCTAGGCAGTGCTTTGATGTCCATACAGTTCCGAGGGACTGTCTTTTCACAAGCGCATGATCTATTTCCTTTGTTTCCCTCCACTACTGTATGTATGTTTCTGAGCCTCCCTTCCAGCGGAACGGGAATAAATGCTGCAGACCGCTAGTTCAATCACTCGTTCACAGAACCAATCCTTTATATGAATGTTCCAGAACTACAAAATATATGTTGCGAAGGGAGAT